TCTCTGCTTACTGCAACCTCCACCTCCTGGGTCAAGCAAGTCTTATGCCTCAGTCTTCTGAGTAGTTGGGACCATAGTCACTCACCACCATGCCTGGCTAATTTTTGTATTTTTTATGTTGACCAGGCTGGTCTTGAACTCCTGACCTCGGGTGATCCGCTTTCGTTGGCCTCCCAAAGTATTGGGATTATAGGTGTGAGCCATTGCACCTGGTCAACTTCACTTTCCATTTAATGATCTCTTTTTACCAAGAGCTGTGCTAAGTGCTCTACCTTTCTTTTTTCATCATAACAACCTTATGATGCACTGCTATCCCATTTTACTGATAAGAAAACTTTGACTAGCTCAGGTGAACCTCCTAGCCGAAGGCTATGCAAGCTCATAACCTGTTGTAGACCCCACGGCCTCAGTCCTTCAAGGTTATAACCAAACTAATGATTGACTTGATGGTGAAATGGGGAGAAAAACAAAAACGCTGTAAAGCAGTAACACCAGATTTAACATTATGGTTGAACACTTTGATTTGTTTCCCTTCAGTCTGTTTTCTACTGATTATATACTTACATTTGCATAGAGAGTAAACTAGGCAGCTGTAGTGGCTCATGCCTGTAATCCCAGCACTTTGGGAGGCTGAAGTGAGAGGATAGCTTGAGGCCAGGAGATTGAGACTGCAGTGAGCTGTGATCGGGCCACTGTGCTCCAGCCTGGGCAGCAGAGTGAGATGTTGTTTCAAGAAAAAAGAATAAATTTAGTTCAGAAACCTATGGTAAACAGAATTTAAGGCTTTTTTTTTTTTTTTTTTTTTTTTTTTTTTTTGAGACGGAGTTTCACTCTTGTTACCCAGGCTGGAGTGCAATGGCGCGATCTCGGCTCACCGCAACCTCCGCCTCCTGGGTTCAGGCAGTTCTCCTGCCTCAGCCTCCTGAGTAGCTCGGATTACAGGCACGTGCCACCATGCCCAGCTACTTTTTTGTATTTTTAATAGAGACGGGGTTTCACAATGTTGACCAGGATGGTCTCGATCTCTTGACCTCGTGATCCACCCACCTCGGCCTCCCAAAGTGCTGGGATTACGGGCTTGAGCCACCGCGCCCGGCCTTTTTTTTTTTTTTTTTTTTTTTAATAGAGTTTTGCTCTTGTTGCCTAGGCTGGAGTGCAGTGGCGCAATCTCAGTTCAGTGCAGCCTCTGCCTCTTGAGATTCTCCTGCCTCAGCCTTTCAGGTAGCTGAGACTACAGGCATGTACTACCATGCCTGGTGAATTTTTTTTTTTTTTTTTTTAAAGATGGGGTTTCACCACGATGGTCAGGCTGGTCTTGAACTCCTGGCTTCAGGTGATCCACCCACCTTGGCCTTCCAAAGTGCTAGGATTACAGGCATGAGCCACCGTGCCCGGCCAATTTTTTGTATTTAGTAGAGACGAGGTTTCACCATGTTGGTCAGCCTGGTCTTGAACCCCTGAACCTCAAGTGATGCATCCACCTTGGCCTCCCAAAGTGCTGGGATAAAGGTGTGAGCCGCCGTACCTGGACTTGAGTTTTACAAACTTTGGTTACACCTAAAGATGAAAGCGAAATAAACAAGATGAGTCAGAAAATGGACAAAGGGAGTTCCTGTAGGGAGTGGTGCATGTGCAATGAAACCGTAGATGTTAACATTTTAGCATGTGTTCCAGTAAATAAAAATAAGACACGGTCTCTTAAGTAATTCCCTTGTACACAACACATACCCATTTTCCTCGGTCTTTTTTTTTTCTAAATATTTTTTTTTGGTAGAGACAGGGTTTCACCATGTCGCCCAGGCTGGTCTCGAACTCCTGAGCTCAGGCAGTCCACCTGCCTTGGCCTTCCAAAGAACTAGGATTACAGGCGTAAGCCACCGTGCCCGGCCCCTCAGTCTGTTTATGTTGTGTAAATTAGATGAATGTGGTTGCAGCTGATCTTTGCTCACTGGTTAAGTGTCTCTTTAGAAGTGGAATTTCAGGGCTGGGCTTGGTGACTCCTGCCTTTAATAATCCCAGCACTTTGGGAGGCGGAGGCTGGTGGATCACGAGGTCAGGAGTTTGAGACCAGCCTGGCCAAAATGGTGAAACCCTGTCTCTACTAAACATACACACAAAAAAATCAGCCAGGTGTGGTGGCAGACACCTGTAATCCCAGCTACTTGTGAGGCTGAGGCAGGAGAATCCTTTGAACCTGGGTGGCGGAGGTTGCAATGAGCCGAGATTGTGACATTGTACTCCAGCCTAGGTGACAGAGCCAGACTCTGTCTCAAAAAAAGAAAAAGAAAAAAGTGGAATTTCAGGAGCAAGATGATACATATAGAGAGAGGTAGAGGGAGACTGTATAAATTTGTATGTGTCGATTAAGTTCCCTCTTAGAAATCTGTATTTCTCCTTTCCTGCACTGTATAAGAGTTGTCTAGTGTGGCCCAAACTTATCTGTTAAAAGTTTATAGTTTGTTAAAATCTCTAACATATTTGGGAGTACAGAAATGTCAGAGTTTTCTCTTAATTTTGATTACAGTTTTCCTTGGCTTCATATGCTTTTGTCATTTCTCAGTGACATATCATCTGCTGAGTTCATTTTTCCCTCTTAAGTCTCTGTCTCTAGGTTTTCCGTGAAGGGGATGGTCTTTTGTTACTGGAAGGGTTTGCTTGTTTCTTTGTTGGCCTCTGCTCAGGTGTACCTCTTATCTGGTTCTGTTATTGTTCCGTGTTTGTGACCCTGCCATAGCTTCCAGTGGATGAATGGTCCATAAAATGCATCATCTTCATTTTGACACTGGGCCTATTTGGGTACTTTTAGAAGTATCACATCTTAAGTCTCTTTTCCTTCAGGTTCCTATTCAGTTTATCTGAGGTTTCTATACTCTCATTTTACCACTTCATGATACTCCATACCTGCTTTAACTGTTTCCCTAAAATGTATTCACTAGCTCAGTAATAATTGTGAAAAGTTATTTTGTATCTTTTCTTATGTTTTGGATCTAAAGTCTGTGTTAAACTATGGTATTAGTAAGAGAAGCTTTTAGAGTCCAAAAAACCTTCTTCATCACTCTAGCTTAGTTAAGTTGTTTCTTTCTGAAGCATCACTGATTTGAAGGTAGTAGAAATAGATTTTTTTTTTTTTTTTTGAGATGGAGTTTCGCTCTTGTTACCCAGGCTGGAGTGCAATGGCGCGATCTCGGCTCACCTCAGCCTCCGCCTCCTGGGTTCAGGCAATTCTCCTGTCTCAGCCTCCTGAGTAGCTGGGATTACAGGCATGTGCCACCATGCCCAGCTAATTTTTTGTATTTTTAGTAGAGATGGGGTTTCACTATGTTGACCGGGATGGTCTCGATCTCTTGACCTCGTGATCCACCCGCCTCGGCCTCCCAAAGTGCTGGGATTACAGGCGTGAGCCACCGCGCCTGGCCAGAAATAGATTTTAATGCTGCTTGCATGATGAAGAGCCGATCTCAAAGGAAATTTTAATAGCAGTATGCCATCCATTCTACTTACTCCTCCTCCTCCTCTTCATGAACTCTCCTTTTCTCCTATTTTACTCAAGAAAATAGTCCAGAAGGAGGGCCTCTAGTCGTATCTTTCATCACACACTCTGCTTGTCTCTCCCCTCTCCTCCCAGTTTTTCTGGTTGAATGTCTTGTGTCTTGTGCCTTCCCTCCTCCCTTTTGTCTGGCTAACATCTTCAATTTTAATTTTAATTTAGAGTTGGGGTCTTGCCTTGTTGCCTAGGGTAGATTGCAGGGGCTCTGTCATAGCTCGCAGCCTCAAATTCCTGGGCTCAAGTGATCCTCCCACCTCAGCCTCCTGAGTAGTGTATGCCACCTGGCTAATTTTTAATTTTTTTGTAGAGACAGGGCCTTGTCATCTTTCCCAGGCTGGTCTCAAATTTCTGTGCTTAAGCCATCTTCCCTGCCTCTGCTTCCCAAAGTGCTAGGATTACAGGCTTGAACCACTATACTTGGCCTTCACTGACATCTTTTAGTTCTAATTTTCAGCTTTAACTTTTTTTTTTTTCTTTTTTGAGATGGAGTCTTGCTTGCTCTGTGGCCCAGGCTGGAGTGTAGTGGTGTGATCTCGGCTCACTGCAACCTCTGTCTCCTGAGTTCAAGTGATTCTTGTGCTTCAGCCTCCCAAGAAGCTGGGACTACAGGCACCTGCCACCACACCTGGGGCTAATTCTTGTATTTTTAGTAGAGATGGGGTTTCACCATGTTGACGAGGCTGGTGGTCTCAAACTCCTGACCTCAGGTGATCCGCTTGCCTTGGCCTCCCAAAGTGCTAGGCTTTTAGGTGTGAGGCACTGTGCCCACTGGCCAACAGTTTTAAAGAACTTTCTGAACAATACTGGTAGACCCAGGGAAACAGGGTGGTTGGCAGAGATGATGGTAGGTTGAGGTGGTGGGACATGTGGACAGTGATGACCACACATGTAAAATAGGTACAAATTTGTTTTCATTATACTTTCTAAACATTAACTATAGCTGTTATGCTGGTTCATAATTTTGCTTTATTTACTCGTGTTTTTGTGGCTTTTGACATTCACCTCTGTCTGGCTCAGTAAATGTTTCTTGACTGATTTTTTTTGAGATGGAGTCTTGCTCTGTTGCCCAGGCTAGAGTGCAGTGGTACAATCTTGGCTTACTACAACCTCCACCTCTTGGGTTCCAGCAATTCTCCTGTTTCAGCTTCCTGAGTAGCTGGGATTACAGGTACATGCCACATTGCCCAGCTAATTTTTTTGTGTGTTTTTAGTAGAGATGGGGTTTCACCATGTTGGCCAGGCTGGTCTTGAACTCCTGACCTCAAGTGATCTGCCCACCTTGGTTTCCCAAAGTGCTAGGATTATAGGCGTGAGCCACTGCGCCTGGCTATTGACTGATTTTTATGAGTACAATCTCAAGTGAGACATTTTCTAAGTATCTTTATTATTATAAAACATTTTGGGTATTCTTGGCACTGTGTTAATTTTTATGAATGCTTTTATACCTATCCAGGACCCCTCGTCCAGTCATTGTGGAGCCCATGGAGCAGTTTGATGATGAAGATGGCTTGCCAGAGAAGCTGATGCAGAAAACTCAACAATACCATAAGTAAGATTTTATTATTAGATATTTTGTATATGTGCTATCAAGGGTGTTTACTACATTTGTTTTTAAGTATTGTTGGATTATGAGATGTTCGATTTATTTATATAATCTGGTTAGTAGAGTGGCCTGGTCTACATGGAATGCTAGTTTTCTTTCCTTTTTTTTTTTGGAGACAGTGTCTTGTTCTGTCATCCTGGAGTGCAGTGGTGTGATCTTGGCTCCCTGCGGTCTCTACCTCCTGCGTTTGAGTGATTCTTGTGCCTCAGCCTCCTGAGTAGCTGGGATTTCAGGCACGTGCCACCATGCCTAGCTAATAGTTTTCTTTTTTTGTATGGGTAAAACATAGTAATTTTTTTTTTTTGAGACGGAGTTTCGCTCTTGTTACCCAGGCTGGAGTGCAATGGCGCAATCTTGGCTCACTGCAACCTCTGCCTCCTGGGTTCAGGCAATTCTCCTGCCTCAGCCTCCTGAGTAGCTGGGATTACAGGCGCGCACCACCATGCCCAGCTAATTTTTGTATTTTTAGTAGAGACGCGGTTTCACCATGTTGACCAGGATGGTCTCGATCTCTTGACCTCGTGATTCACCCGCCTTGGCTGGGATTACAGGCGTGAGCCTCCATGCCCGGCCAAACAGTAATTTTTTTTTTTTTTTTTTTTAGAAAAGTCTACTTTTACAGCTGGGGCAGGGTGGGTAGTAGGAAGACACTGTCAATAATACTTATGCCAGAAAAACAGTGAATTCTAGATAACATGAAAATACCTTTTTTTTTTTTTTTGAGATGGAGTCTTGCTCTCGTTGCACAAGCTGGAGTGCAGTGGTGCGATCTCACTGCAATCTCCGTCTCCTGGGTTCAAGGGTTTTCTTCCTCAGCCTCCCGAGTAGCTGGGATTACAGGTATATGCCACCATGCCTGGATAATTTTTTGTTTTTTACTAGAGGCAGGGTTTCGCCATGTTGACCAGGCTGGTCTTGAATTCCTGACCTCAGGTGATCCGCCTGCCTTGGCCTCCCAAAGTCCTGGGATTACAGGTGTGAGCCACTGTGCCCAGCTGCAAATACTTACTATGTTTTATTTTATGCTTCAAGTCTATTGTAGGTTAAAAGGAGGCTTTTGGTGTGCTGGATTGGAGTACCGTATGCCTAAATAGCCAGATACAGGGGAAGAGCTCTTAGAAATTGCAAAAAATAACCCATTTTCAAAATTTTGGGTGTTTATTCTTTTGTCCTTTTCCCTTATAATAATACAAATATATTTACATAAATTACCTATGAGTGCATTATTATTGTTCTCAGTTTATAAAGCTTTGTTAAACATTTCGAACAGCTGTGCAGCAAACACACCGCATAAAAGTTCTAGAATAGCAGTCCAAATGTTTCACAAGTATGGCCTCACAGTCTCATTCCCTAGATGGACTGCCTCGGACTGCCTCTAGTTCTGTTCTCTGCCTGGGCTACCTCCCTTTCCCCTCCAGTTACTTTTGCAGAGTGCATTATGTTTTAAAAAACATAATGTACTTGGCCGGGCGCAGTGGCTCAAGCCTGTAATCCCAGCACTTTGAGACGCCGAGGCAGACAGATCATTTGAGGTCGGGAGTTTGAGACCAGGCTGGCCAACATGGTGGAACCCCATCTGTACTAAAAATATAAAAATTAACTGGGCGTGGTGGCACATGCCTGTAATCCCAGCTCCTCAGGAGGCTGGGGCAGGAGAATTGCTTGAACCTGGGAGGTGGAGGTTGCTGTGAGTTGAGATCGCACCATTGCATTCCAGCCTGGGTGACAGAACGAGACTCTGTAAAAAAAAAAAAAAAAAAAAAAAGTCACTTATTGCCGGGCGCGGTGGCTCACGTCTCTAATCCCAGCACTTTGGGAGGCCAAGGTGGGTGGATCACGAGGTCAAGAGATTGAGACCATCCTGGTCAACATGGTGAAACCCCGTCTCTACTAAAAATACAAAAATTAGCTGGGCATGGTGGTGAGTGCCTGTAATCCCAGCTACTCGGGAGGCTGAGGCTGGAGAATTGCCTGAACCCAGGAGGCGGAGGTTGCGGTGAGCTGAGATCGCGCCATTGCACTCCAGCCTGGGTAACAAGAGGAAACTCTGTCTCAAAAAAAAAAAAAAAAAAAGTCACTTATTTATTTATATTTCTGAGACAGTCTGACTCTGTCACCCAGGCTGGAATGCAGTGATGCAATCTTTGCTCACTGCAACCTTCACCTCCTGGGTTCAAGGGATTCTTGTGCCTCACCCTCCCAAGGAGCTGGGATTACAGGTGTGTACCACCACACCCAGCCAATTTTTGTATTTTTAGTAGAGATGGGGTTTCACCCTGTTGGCCAAGCTGGTCTGGAACTCCTGACCTCAGGTGATCTACCTGCCTTGGCCTCTGAAAGTGCTGGGTTTACAGGTGTGGGCCACTGTACCCCACTCACTTGTTTATTACATAAATAAAACCTGGAGTGCCTTTTTGTTAGCGACTGTTCTAGGTGCTGGCAGTGTAGTCAAGCAGATAGTTGGATTTATACCTAGGAATTAGAGCAACTGTCCTGGTGGGATTTATTAACATGATATTTTAAAGTCAAAGGACCAAACCCTGAACCCTGGAGTACTCCAGTGTGTAGAGGTTGGGAACATCAGAAGGAATAAAAAACGACTGAGAAGGGAGCATTCATTCATTGGAGTGGGAGGAAGAACCATCTGACTCTGTCCTGGAAGCAAGGGAACAGAGTATTTCAGGGAGGAAGCATTAGTAGTAATTGATTATAATTCCTATCTGTTCTGATTTCCCTTACAGTGCCCTTCCCCCTCCCCCTCCCTTTTCCCCTCCCCTACCTTCTTTCTTCTTTCTTTCTTGAGACAGGGTCTGGCTCTTGCTCAGACTATAGTGTAGTGGCATGATCATGACTCATTGCAGTCTCTACCTCCTGGTCTCAAGTGATCCTTCCACCTCAGCCCCCCTCCCCTGCCAAGTAGCTGGGATTATAGTTGTGGGCCACCACGTTCCATTAATTTTATAATTTTTTTTTTTTTTTTTTTTTTTAGAGGGAGTTTCGCTCTTGTTACCCAGGCTGGAGTGCAATGGCGCGATCTCGGCTCACCGCAACCTCTGCCTCCTGGGTTCAGGCAATTCTCCTGTCTCAGCCTCCTGAGTAGCTGGGATTACAGGCACGCGCCACCATGCCCCGCTAATTTTTTGTATTTTTAGTAGAGACGGGGTTTCACCATGTTGACCAGGATGGTCTCGATCTCTTGACCTTGTGATCCACCCGCCTCGGCCTCCCAAAGTGCTGGGATTACAGGTGTGAGCCACCACGCCCGGCCTAATTTTTTAATTTTTTTAAAGACAGGGTTTCTTTCATTATGTTGTTGCTCAGGGTGGTCTCAAACTCCTGGGCTCAAGCAATCTGCCCGCCTTGGCCTCTCAAAGTTGAGTTTACAGGTGTAAGGCACTGGACCTGGCCACAATGCCAGTTTTCAAAGGGTTCCTTTTTACTTATTATGGGTCACCATTACAAATTTGAAATAGAGCATCCTTTTGGATTTGGGAGAGAGAGAACTAGAAGTACAACGTTATTAAAAGAATAGACTTTATAGACAATATTTGTTTATATATTTAATGGTCTCAGCAAACCTTAATAAGAGCAAGTTATGGCCAGATGCGGTGGCTCATGCCTGTAATCCCAGCCCTTTGGGAGGCCGAGGCAGGTGGATCATGAGGTCAGGAGTTCAAGAGCAGTCTGACCAACATGGTGAAACCCCGTCTCTATCTACTAAAAATACAAAAATTAGCCATGTGTGGTGGCTCATGCCTGTAATTCCAGAGGTGGAGAATGTAGTAAACTGAGCTTGTGCCACTGCACTCCAGCCTGGGTGGCAGAGCAAGACTCTGTCCCCAAGGGAAAAAAAAAAAAAAAAAAAAAAAAAAAGGCTAGTTATAGTTTCAGTTTTACTACTAATGATTTATAGGCCAGGCGTTGTGGCTCACACCTGTAATCCTAGCACTTTGGGAGGCTGAGACGAGTGGATCACCTGAGGTCAGGAGTTTGAGACCAGCCTGGCCAAGATGGTGAAACCCTATCTCTACTAAATATACAAAATTAGCCAAATGTGGTGACACATACCTGTAATCCCAGCTACTTGGGAGACTGAAGCAGGAGAATCGCTTGAACCTGAGAAGTGGAGGTTGCAGTGAGCCGAGATCGCGCCATTGTTCTCCAACAAGGACAAGAGCAAAACTCCTTCTTAAAAAAAAAAAAAGGTTTATTCCCAGAAGAAAATGCTTACAAAGCATAAGAGCCAAGATTTAAATTCACTTGCAGCTACGAAAAAGCATGTTATGTCAGTTGTTTGTTTGTTTTTTTCCCCTGTGGGAGAAAATAAAGAATTTAAAAATGTAGTCAATCTTTGACTTAAGAGCTGCTGATCAATAATTGTTTTAGAAAAATTAGTGGTTGGTAGATTCTCCCACTCTTTCCCATTTTCCAGTCGCTGCTTTAAAAAGAAAAAAAATCCAAGCAGATTTTTTAGATACAGAGTCCCTAGGACCATGGCTGTCTTTGGTGTTTCTTCATGTGCTTCTGAAGACCTTTCCCTCTTCTGTTACCACACCTTTCTCTCTGTGACAGTCTTCCCCTTTCTCCCAGATTTGTCATACCCACTCCTCTTCACCTCCATACCCCAAAATAAGTGTTAAAATTTACATTTGTAGCAAGTTATCTGTGCGTTTATTCATGGAGTGGGATTGTGTTCCTATCAATACTTTTTTTTTCTTTTTTGTTTGTTTTGACACAGAGTTTTGCTCTTGTTGCCCAAGCTGGAGTGCACTGGCACAATCTCGGCTTACTGCACCCTCCCATCTCCCGGGTTCAAGCGATTCTCCTGCTTCAGCCTCCTGAGTAGCTGGGATTACAGGCGCGTGCCACCACGCCCAGCTAATTTATTGTATTTTTAGTAGAGACTAGGTTTCTCCATGTTGGTCAGGCTGGTCTCGAACTCCCTACCTCAGGTGATTCACCTGTTTCGGCCTCCCAAAGTGCTGGGATTACAGGCATGAGCCATGGCACCCAGCCCCTATCAGAAGCTTTTAATAGTGGCTGTTATGGGCAAGACTAATCGAAGATTTTTCTGCAAAAATTTCTTGGAAGTTGGTTGGGTGTGATGGCTCTTACCTGTAATTCCAGCACTTTGGGAGGCAGAAGGGTTGCTTGAGTCCAGGAGTTTAAGACCAGCCTGGGCAACATGGTGGTACCTCATCTCTACAAAAAATACAAAAATTAGCTGGTCATGGTGGCATGCCCCTTCAGTCCTAGCTACTCTGCAGCTTCAGGTGGGAGGATTGCTTGCGCCTGAGAGGTTGATTGGGCAGTGAGTGTTAATTGTGCCACTGTACTCCAGTGTGGGCAACTGAGCAAGACCCTGTCTCAAAAAATCCCTAAACAACAGTGACAACAACCAAAATTCTTTAAAGGGGAAAAAAATTGATTGGGACCAGGTATGGTGTCTTGCACCTGTAATTTTGGCACTTTTGGAGGCTGAGGAATGAGGAATACTTGAGGCCAGGAGTTTGAGATCAGTCATATTTTTTATCTGTCTCTAAAACATATATTTACATCTATATATCTCATATATATATATAAATGAAGTCTTTCAAATACATTTATAGGTCTTTATTTTTATTTGGTAATTTGTTTGCTCATTTATTTATTCAAGAATTATATATTTTTAGGGCCGGGCATGGTGGCTCAAGCCTGTAATCCCAGCACTTTGGGAGGCCGAGGCGGGTGGATCACAAGGTCGAGAGATCGAGACCATCCTGGTCAACATGGTGAAACCCCGTCTCTACTAAAGATACAAAAAATTAGCTGGGCATGGTGGCGCATGCCTGTAATCCCAGCTACTCAGGAGGCTGAGGCAGGAGAATTGCTTGAACCCAGGAGGCAGAGGTTGCGGTGAGCCGAGATCGCGGCATTGCACTCCAGCCTGGGTAACAAGAGCGAAACTCCGTCTCAAAAAAAAAAAAAAAAAAAAAAAAATTATATATTTTAATGTATATACTGCATTCTAGGTCCTTGAGGTACAGCAGTTAACAGATACATTTGATGTCATCAGTTGAGTTTATAGGCTACCGAGGGAAAGAGCTATTAAATAGTTAACTGTAATTGTAGTGAGTTAGGCCTTGATTTGGTTGCCTATCCAATTAACTTGGCATATAACACTCAATAAAATCCAGCTGGTTTTAATAGTAAAAACATCTGATCCAGACAGTTAATCCATATGTTGCAGACTTTCCTTTGTAAAATATTTAATTGACTGAAAACCAGAAAATGAAACCTCCAAAAGCAGAAATTTTACAGGTAATAATTAGGAGAGTCTGGGTTGTAGCATCAGATTGTCTAAGTTTGAATCATTGTTCCATTATTAGTTGAACATCCTTGGGCAGTTTCTTAAGCTCAGGCCTGTAATCACAATATTGTCACGAGGTAATTCATGTAGACATGGTGTCTCAGACAGTGCCTTGAACATTGTAAGTGCTTCTTGCTTTACCTTTTAAACATAAATCTCTGTATGTTTTAATGTAAATTTAGGGAAAGAGAACAACCACCACGGTTTGCGCAACCTGGAACATTTGAATTTGAGTATGCATCTCGATGGAAGGCTCTTGATGAAATGGAAAAGCAGCAGCGTGAGCAAGTTGACAGAAACATCAGAGAAGCCAAAGAGAAACTGGAGGCAGAAATGGAAGCAGCTAGGCATGAACACCAGTTAATGCTAATGAGACAAGGTAAACATGGATTTTCATGTAAATGTGGTATGATTTTTTTTTTTCCCTCTAAGTGTGTATACCACTTATGTACTACTGTGTAAAGTGCCAGTAAGGAGTTCAGAGAAAAAGTTGGAACTCAACATATTAGCTATGAAGATCTCAGAGAACTTAAGAAAAAAAAAACTTATTAAAAGTTAGTTTTACTTAGGCAGTTAATATTGTTGGAGGTAATTTGAGGATATTGAACTGTGCCAGTAGCACCAGTAGCAAATACATGATTCTCTTGGCAAACGGAGAAACATGGTGGGTGAATTTTGGTAGGTAGACATGGCACATGTAGGACTTTTTGTTTGATGAAGAATTTGGACAAATGCTGGCTATTTAAGATTATTACTGCACATTTGAAAGAGTACAGATGGATAATCCGGTAGAGACAAAAGAGATTCATGTTTACAGATGGATGTGGGGATTTAGGAAAAGTAAATTCTTAGTAATTGACGAGAATATATATATATATATATACACACATACACACACACACATATTTTTTTTTGAGATGGAGTCTTGCTCTATCCCCCAGGCTGGAGTGCAATAATTTGATTTTGGCTCACTGCAACCTCTGCTTCCTGGGTTCATGCAATTCTCCTGCCTCAGCCTCCCGAGTAGTTGAGATTACAGGCCCGGATAATTTTTGTATTTTTAGTAGAAATGGGTTTTCACCATGTTGGCCAGGCTGGTGTCAAACTCCTGACCTCAGGCGATCCACTTGCCTCAGCCTCCCAAAATGCTGGGATTCCAGGGGTGAGCCACCGTGCCTGGACAATTGGCAAGAATATTTAAGAGCAGTCAATAACAGGTGTTAATTTATTCTTGTCTACTGGATAAATAACTTAACAATATGACAAGCTGCTTAAATACATGTCAAAAGCTCACTTCTCCCTTTTCTCTTTATTACCTTTCTTTTTATGCCCATCTATGTTAATTATCTGTATCTCCTCTCCCTTTTTGTCTCTTCTTAAATTTTCTATATAATTTTTCCTGGTTCTTCCTATCGCTCAGCTTTTCCACTACCCATAATGAGTTTTAAATTTCTTAAAATAAGCGTCTGATTGCTTTCTATTTCGCTTTTAAGTTTTTGTTTTGTTTTAACTTAGCATTTGAGTAAATGTTTATCTACCTTCTCTTGGCTGTCCCCAGAGATCAAGGTACCACAGTTGCCTACGTGAGTTTCTGCAGTAGTGTTCCTGATGAACTTTTCTGCCATCTAATCTTGGCTTTCTTTAAACTGTTCTATATACTAGATTCAGTATTTTTTTTAGCAGGCGAAAATTTGATCATTCACTTCTAAATCCTTTTGGGTAAATTCTCATTTCCTTAAAATGAAGTGTAGGGGTTTTTTTTTGGTGTGTGTGTGTTCTAGTATTTTGTACATCACTATTCAGTAAATGTTTATTGAGCAGTTATGATCAAGTCATTGAATAACTGTGCCAATGCCACATATGTTAAAACAAAATCAAGCTCAGCAAACAATAGAAACTAGTCAGGTGTTTTGGTTTAATTTGTACTCTAAACCTGGCAGTTCCGTAAGTTTACTTTTCTAACAAGATTGAATTCATTTATATATTATAGTAGGTTTAAAGATAAACTGTCTTCTATTTTGCAGAAAATTTGAAAGTGTTGTTTCAGTTAAAGATACTGAATCATTCATTGGCTGTTAGAGCTGGAAGAGAGGTTTGTTTTTTGTTTTGTTTTTGAGACAGAATCTCACTCTGTCGCCCAGCCTGGAGTGCCATGGTACAGTCTCGGTTCAGTGCGACCTCTGCCTCCCGTGTTCAAGCAGTTCTTGTGCCTGAGCCTCCCTAGTAGCTGGGACTACGGGTGTGTGCCGCCATGCCTGGCTAATTTTTTTTTTTTAGGTGGAAGTTTGCTCTTGTTGCCCAGGCTGGAGGGCATTGGTGTGATCTTGGCTCACTGTAACCTCCACGTTGGGTTTAAGCGATCCTCCTGCCTCAGCATCCTAAGTGGCTGGGATTACAAGTGTGTGCTACCACACTTGGCTAATTTTTTCTGTTTTTAGTAGGGATGTGGTTTCACTATGTTGGCCAGGCTGATCTCAAACTCCTGACCTCAGGTGATCTGCCTCCCAAAACTGGGATTACAAGCATGAGCCACTGTGCTTGTAATATTTTTGTATTTTTAGTAGAGTTGGAATTTCTGCATGTTGGTGAAACTGGTTTTTTTTTTTTTTTTTTTTTTTCTTTTGAGACGGAGTTTTGCTCTGGCTGGACTGCAATGGCGCAATCTCGGCTCACCGCAACCTCTGCTGCCCGGGTTCAGGCAATTCTCCTGCCTCAGCCTCCCGAGTAGCTGGGATTACAGGCACGCGCCACCATGCCCAGCTAATTTTTGTATCTTTAATAGAGACGGGGTTTCACCATGTTGACCAGGATGGTCTCGATCTCTCGACCTCGTGATCCACCCACTTCGGCCTCCCAAAGTGCTGGGATTACAGGCTTGAGCCACCGCGCCCGGCCCCGAAACTGGTTTTGAACTCATAGCCTCAAGTGATATGCCCACCTTGGCCTCCCAGAATGCTGAGATTACAGATGCGAGCCACCATGCCCGGCCGAGAGATCTTAAAGTTTGTCCTGGTGGTTTTGAAATTTTGTTATACATTATAATCATCTTGGAAATTTAAAAAATTTTGTTCCCTGGGCCCTGTGGTTGCCCTAGCCCTTCTGTTCACTATGAATTATTTTCTCTTAACCTGCTAGGTACTTCTTTCCCATTTTGTTTCCCGCCTATCTACTGTTGTGCTTAGTTAGGAAATAATGTTGATTAGAAGTGGAAGCATCTGTACTAAAGATTTGTCTTGATGCTACGGACAAACAGTGGTATAACATTCATTAATTTAGCACATCTTTAATATTAGTTATAGGAGACACATCTGAGGTACTGAGGATATATTGATGGCAAAGAACATTTCCTTAGACTTCAGTTTTTTCTTGAGTTCTTAGAAAACTTTGCCTGAAGGTATTTTGACATTTGAAGTAGAGTAATTTTACATAGCTATTTTTCCTATGAGTTTAAGTTTTGTGTGTGTTCATTTGACATTGCCTGTTGCATCCTACTCCCTGCTTCTGGTTCACTTGTGCTAAAGTGCTTATTTCATCAAAAGTCTGAAGCTGGTAAATTTCATTTTAAATTTGTTTAAAAATTTACAAAGTTGCTGGATGTAGTGGTTCACGCCTGTAATCCCAGTACTTTGGGAGGCTGAGGCAGGTGGATCACCTGAGGTTGGGAGTTCGAGACCAGCTTGACCAACTTGGAGAAACCCTGTCTCTATAAAAAATAAAAAATTAGCTGAGTGTGGTGGCACATGTCTGTAATCCCAGCAACTTGGAAAGCTGAGGCAGGAGAATTGCTTGAACCTGGGAGGCAGAGATTGCGGTGAGCCAACATCTCACCACTGCCCTTTAGCCTGGGCAACGAGTGAAACTCGGTCTCAAAAAAAAAATTTAAAAAGTTATGACTTCCTTCCATTTATTCTACAGTTTTATGTTTCTTCCTTTTTTTTCCTTCTTTTTTGAGACAGAGTCTTGCTCTGTTGTCCAAGCTGGAGTGCTGGAGTGCAGTGGAACAATCTCTGTTCATTGTATCCTCTGCCTTCTGGGTTCAAGTGATTCTCCTGCTTCAGCCTCCCAAGTAGCTGGGATTACAGGTGCACATCACCATACCCAGCTAATTTTGCATTTTTAATAGAGATGAGGTTTCACTGTATTGGTCAGACTAGTCTTGAACTCCATACCTCAGGTGATCACCCGCCTCGGCCTCCCAAAGTGCTGTGATTACAAGCGTGAGCCACTACACCCAGCCTACAATTTCATATTTCATCCAGTGTTTCTAAGTATGCATTCAGGTTGAGGAGAGACTTTAAGTAATCTTAGTTGTGTGGTTCTGCAGAAACATGTATTATGACATATGGAAGGAGAAACCTCAAACAGTACAGAAAAAGTGTCCCCCATTCCCTACCTTCTGCTTTTTTGTAGGGATCACTCTTTTGTGTTTTAATTCTCTTTTGTATCCTTCAATGAAAATAAAAAATCTTGCATATGTCATTAGATGTTCGCGTATATTTGTAAGCAAAAAAAAAAAAAAAAAAAAAAAAAATCATAGTAAAACAAACTGGCTGGGTGCAGCATGCTGTAATTCTGGCACTTTGGGAAGCTGAGGTGGAGAGTTGCTTGAGTCCAGCAGTTCAGGACTGCTAACCTCAGCAACATAGTGAAACCCCATCTCTACCAAAAGTACAAAAATTACCTGGGCATAGTGGCGTGTGTCTGTAGTTGCAGCTATTTGTGGAGGCTGAGGTGGGCAGATTGCTCGAGCCTGGGAGCTCGAGGCTGTAGTGAGCTATCATTGTGCCACTGTATTCCAGCTTGGGTGACAGAACGAGACCCTGTCTCAAAACAAAAAAGCTGTTGACCTTTTATATACCTTCTTTACCTTCTACATGAGTATATAAGTATCTGCCTTATATTTTCAATGGCTGTATGATATTCTTCTAAGTGGGTATAGTTAGTTTAGTTCATCCTCTTTTGATTGGTAACAATTTTCCTTTTCAGTTTGTTTTTAAAAGCAGTGCTACGAAGAATATATGTGCATGCATCAGAAAATTTCTGTAAATGTTGATTCTTACTGAACACACGGGTACCTTATAATTGTTTCATTTATACTTTACTGACAGTTATTTAGTCCTTTCTAGATTCAAATCCTATTTATTTATTTATGAATGAGATGGAGTCTTGTTCTGTCACCCAAGCTGGAATGCAGTGGTGCAATCTCAGCTCACTACAGCCTCTGTCTACCTCCCAGGTTCAAGCGATTCTCTAGCCGCAGCCTCCCAAGTAGCTGGGACTACAGGCAGGAGCCACTACACCTGACTAATTTTTGTATTTTTAGTAGAGACAGGGTTTTGCGATGTTGACCAACCTGGTCTCGAACTCCTGGCCTCAAGT